TGTTAGCATTTTCAAGGCAAAACACAGACAATAGAAGCAAAGCAAGAACTATTTGTGTAGGTCTGGAGAAAAGTGGCTGGTTATCAGGAGAGCAGTTAATGTGATGCTGCTGGGTTGGGTGCTACAAAGCACACTGGTTTATAATAGAGCTTGGAAACAAACAAAGCATCGAGAATCATAAGAATGTTGAAAGATCTTAGTTGCAAAAAAATAAAACCTAATAGATTCATTTTGTCTGGCTTCCCTTTGAAAGAAATACACTGTGCATCTGTTTTTCTTAAAGAGAGATCATTCAGATATCAGTACATTTCTCCTGACATATTTTTTGTCATTGGTCAAATTCTGGTGTACCTAAATCAGCAAGCAGTTCCAGAGACACCTGCACATTGACGAGGACACGCTCAGTGGAGCGGGTGTTGTGACATCACTATGGAATTTTGGCTATGAGAGCTCACTTCAGAGGAGATCAGTTCCTGGTCCACAGTGAACTGTGAACTGGCTACTTTACGTAAGGGAAAGGAGACCACCCTCCAAGTCTTTTTTTCCTCTGAAGCTGGCAGCAGTTAAGCAGCCATTTCCTTGGCTTTTTGACACAAGGACTGGCCTGCTTGTTCTGCTTTTAATGAAAATGGTATAATAAAGAAAGATACCCATAATAAGAACCTGTATAGACAGGATAGGGCAAAGTCAGCAGAACTTTCCAAATAAAAAGGTTTGGGCAGTCTTGTGATCATTCCCAAGCTTGTCTGTGTTATGAGCTGTTGTAAAGGCATCTCAAGTTTTATTATGCCTAACCTGCAGAAGGCCTCTTCCTGGCAGTGACTCTTCGTGCCAGATCCACCAGGAAGCATAGTCTTTTCAGAACTGTTTAGAATTCACAAGACTTAGTTTTGTTTATTGAAAGTACAGCCTCATTCTCAGCTGCTTTAAATTTGCCATTTGCTGCAGAATTTCTTAAAAGGGTCAAGAGAGCCAAGAGAACAAAATCTCAGACTCATGAGGTATTTGTAGGAGTCTGTGATCTCAAAATCCTTCTGCTCCAAACACAGTGGTAACATAGCAATGACAATGTTTTATTCTTTAGGAGATCAGTGAATACGGGGTGTGATTTGGGCTATTGCCCATCCATGTGGTGTAATATTATGGGCTTAAAACCAAGCACAGTAAAGTCTCATCATCACCATCAGTGGATTTTGGATTAGGCTAGGTATGCGCAGGCAGCTCATTCTGAACAGAGAAAAGGCAGCACAGTTTTCTAACAGCAGGATGAAATCAAGGGTAGCTTTAACAGGATATGGATCTGCAAAGGGAACTGTACTGAACAGGAAGCTTATTCAAATTGTGTCATATGTTGGTCATGAAAACATTCTAGTCTAATGCAAATATGCAAATATAGTCGTTAGCATGGAGTTAATACCTTGAAAATATTAAATATTTTTTAAAATAATTTTTGCTCTAAGTTTTGACCATTTGTGTCTGCTTTCCTCAAATATTTTAGCAAACAGGTTTACTTGTAGAAGTATTAATATTTTAACCAGATATTGGAGAATATGTGCTAAAAATGTATGTAATAATAATAATAATAATAGTAATGCATATTTTTGCTCTAGGAAGGAAGCCATGGAAGTTGTGCTAAGTATGACCAAAGAACACCAGCAGTGGCGGGTGGTGAATACCTCTAGTGGCAGCAGGCAAAAGTAGCTTTAATTTTGACTGTCATATACTTGCACCAAGATTTTTACTAGATGGTTGATTATCACCAAAAATTGTCGTCAGCAGACAATTTGGATACATTGGAAGAAACAGCAATTTGTTTCTTACCACGCAGAGCCACTGCGTGGGAAGCCACCGGTGCCTAAGGCGTACTTGGCTCTGGTTAATAGCGGAGAGGTGGAACATGACGGCACATTGGTGCAGGACACGCTGCGGCCGCTCGCCGTGTGCCCGCTCGGTCCCTCTCGGTCCCGGCCGCCGTCGCAGCTCGGGCCGGCAGCGCAGGGGCCGCGGGGCCGTGAGGGCGAGGGGCGGCCCTGGCGCTGCCTCGGGCCCGGCCTCGCCCCCGCCCGGCCAGGCCGCCCAGCGCGGGCGCCGCCCGCGGCCGCCGCGTTGCCGGGATACGGGGCCGCGGCGAGGCGGAGGCGCGGGGCCCGCGTCCCTCAGCCGTGACCCCCCGCAATGTCCCCCTGCAGTGTGCCCCTGCCCAGCCCCGAACGCGCCTGACCGCCGGCCCCCTCCGCGGCACGGCAAGGTGCGGGGTTTTCGGCTAGAACGTCAAGTGATGGGAAGCAGAGCGAGGAACGCATCCGCAACTCCCTCATCCCCCCTGCTGGAACCTTGCAGAAAGAAAAATAAATGAGTTTCGAACCCCATTGTGCCTAGTCAGTACCTGAAACAGCCGGGAAAACAAGCAAGGGCCGAGGGGCAGGCGCTGGTCCGTGGGCGCAGCAGGCGGCTGCCCGCTCCGCTGGCCCGCGCACAAACAGCCATGGCATCGGCAAAGGGTGAGCCAAGTGTCGCCGGGCTGCAGAGAAGCTGTGCCACTAAAAATCCACGAACCACTTTGGTTTTAAACTGCTACATGGCAGGAAATGAGATGCTGAGCTTGGCAGAAAAGGACCCTGGAAAATGTGATTATGCCTCTCTTTTGATGGGACTGTTATAAATATTCATAATATTGCAATTTTGGAAAAGCGGTTGTTTTGGCATGTGGTTTGGAATAGAAAACTAACTTCCAGGCGCTTCTCTGCATGGACAAAACTGGAGTCAGGTTACTGCTCTGCTGCAGAATGTGCTTTTGTTACCGAAGAAAATACTACACTGCAAAGTTTTCAGGAGGTTCACAATGTCGTTGGAGTATTAATTAAAGAGAAATGCCTAGGTAATTGATGGTGGATTTCAGTGAATGAGCCAAAGGAAATGAAACACAGGTTTTCACCATCAATGGCAAAATATTGCCATGGCAATGGGTGGCTTTGCCAGGAATAAACAAACAAACAACAACAGGCCTCTTTCAGGAAAAAAGAGAATTTTCTGTTCTCACCTCACCCTGTCTGTTCCATTGGACATCTTGGAGGGGAGAAGATGGTGTAGCCTACTTATGCAAGTCCTACAAATCCAGCTTCCCTCTCAGTAGGTACAATTAGATAATTTCCAGAGCAAGAAGTCACCTTTATACTGGGGGATGGGAAGGCAACAACATTTGCTTAATAATTATTTCAGTGCCTTGGCTACTGTAATTATTTTCCATTTTTTTACTGGAGGTGGATAGGCTCGGAAATAACCCAGGTTTTTGCCACTCTTAGCTGGTGCTGCTTCAGGGAGGGACTGCTGACAGGGAAGGTTTTCTTAAGAGCAAAAACATGGGCCTGCAGTTAAATTAATAACGACCTTTACAAAAACACAACAGAGAGAGCAAGGCAGCTGAGAAAGCACGAGCTGCCCTTTCTTCCCTGGGCTCAGATGCCTGGCAGGGTGTGCCCATGCACAGGCACTGCTGTCCTCTCCCAGCATGGCCTTTGAAGGTGGCCATCTGTCTCTGAAAGCTTTCTGGACATTTCTGGCTGCAGCAGTCCCTCAGAGAATGCAGTCCCACCACCTGGTGTGAGCTCTGGGTGTCATCCCTGGGAGATGGACCTCAGCCACCCCCCAGTCAAGGATTCACCAGTGCTGGATCCTTGTAGCCTTAGACTGAATTCCTTGCAGTTGTGCAGGCTGTTGTTCTGCCCATAGCCTGTCAAATCCCAGGTGGGCACCTGGATATGCACTAAGGCCTTGCTGGGATTGTTCCTGAGGAATATAGACATGGCCTGATGTTGATCTTGTGATTTTGTGGCTTTTTGTGGCAAGAGCAATGGGCTAGAGCCAGGTGGTCCTGTGAAACCAAAGGAGGGGCAACCAGAAGTCAAAAGAGATCTCCTCCTCAGGAGATCAGGTGTCCCCTGGTGAGGAGACAGCATCCATGTGAAGGAGCTAATAGTGAGCCTGACTGTGTTTGTATCACTGGGTTGACCCCAGTAGTGTTTGTAAGCTGTCTAATATAAACTATCCAATGGGGAAGTGTTAAGACCTGTTAAAGTTTGCAAAACTGATCTAATAGCAATATTATATTGAACAAAAAAACATCCTGTGTGGCTTCCCAGCTATTGGGCATTGTTAGCTTTGTCTTACAATTCTTAATAAAGTAATACTTAGGTACTGTTTAAGTTTCCAATAAAATATTTAATGTATTTTACTGTAAAGTCTTCAGGCTGAGGACTGTATCTCACAGAGCGCTCATACCACACCTAGCACTCATTTGATTGCAGCCTCCAGGCAGTATTGTAAAGGTTCATTATTACCACCAAGATCTGTCCTTATCCTGTCACTCTTCAAAGAAGGTCCATTCTTAACTACGGGTTTAACACAGCTGGTATTTAAATTATAATTTTCTTTTTTTTTTTTTTTCCATTGAAAAGAATCAAACCAGTTCCAAGAAAATACGTTTTTTAACTTGAACTTTAAATTAATGTTGCTCATATAGAACTGTGCTTGATCCACCTATGCCTTCATTTAACCAGCTCAGAAAACAAATAAGAAGCGTTCTTTTTCTGAGGGGAAAAAAAAGGGAAAAAAAAAAGAGCTGTATTTGGGATCTATTTTGCATGAGAAAATATTTTGTTTAGGAGTGACAGTCAAAGGCATTCTCTCATACATTGTAATATTTTCCATGTGTGGCAGCTTGTTTTTCAGTGGTACAAATATGTGCAATAAAGGCCGAGGATAAAAATGAATCTAACAGTTTTTGCAGCAATGCTTGTGATGGTTTCATTCGATTTCATTTTCCTGTGGATACTGCCATTAGTTCTGCTGCTTGCAATATGTGAAGCATAATTCTGAAAGGTTCATGAGGTTGTAGGGATCCAGTAAGAGATGACTGATTTCTCCCCCACACACATATACTCCACCCCACACCCACTCACCCACCCACCAGCAAAACATAATGCTGTACTATTTTTGGAAACAGGGAAAGGGCCTCCCTGTGAAAACAGAAAGCAGTGTATTTCTCAGTTACATCACTTTGCAATCTAATGCTGTGTTGTGCTCAGTGTTTTTGTGGTGATGCAAGTCTTTTTTTTCTTTCCTTTTTTTTTTTTCTTTTTTTTTTTTTTTTTCCCTTCAGCCGGTTGGATTTTCCCCATCTTACAGCACCTCGCAGGTCTCTTCTCTGAGCAGTACGTTGCCTGAGTGAGTGGAAACATACAGATCAGCTGCAGGTTTCTATCTACAAAAACAGAGTGAAAGAGAAAGAAAAGGGTTGGGAAAGCAGAGACAAATATTGACCTGGACTTAGAGAAAGACATCCAATGGCTGAATAAAGAACCCTGTTCATGTTTTGGGATATTCTTTCAACTGGCTGGAACGAGAGCGGATCAAAAGAATGGGAAATGCCAGCAGACCCTTTAGAAGAATTGCTTATTTCTTATGCCTTTTATCTGTGCTTTTGCTGACTGAAGGGAAGAAACCAGTGAAGCCAAAATGTCCTGCCTGGTGTACTTGTACCAAAGATAATGCTTTATGTGAAAATGCCAGATCTATTCCTCGCAGCGTTCCGCCTGATGTTATCTCACTGTAAGGGCTGTAAGCATTTGGTTATTTAATTTATGATTTAAAATGAACTAGGATGTGTGGTGTTCTCAGTGCATACTCCCTGCTTGCTGCAGGGAGTACCTCCAGCATTCAGAATCATCAGCTAATGTGTTAAAATTGTGCTGCATCCTTGAATCCTGATTTTTATATCTCTTTCATCTGTCTGTTTGTCTGTGTATGTGCACACATCTCATTTTATACCTTCTTGTATAGTACATGAAACCTGTCACGTTATATTTGGGGGGGGGAAGGTAATTTTTTTTACTTATATAAATAAATTTCTCTGTGATGACCAGATCAGTCTTATAACCATGGATATATGAGGCTACATTAATGTATGGTTGTTTTTTTCTTCTTTACAGATCCTTTGTGAGATCTGCTTTTACTAAAATCCCAGAAGGGAGTTTTTTGCTCACACCATCTCTGCAGCTTCTGTGAGAAATATTTATATGATACAATTTTTGTTATGAAGTGTATATGTATTCATAAATATTTCAGAAAGGGTCTTAGTATTAATTTTATAAGAAACAGCAGCAGAATATTTATTAGATCATAAAATACATTACTTTTGAGCAATTTGAATGATAGTGCATGTTTAATTTTTACTTAGTATTTTGCAAGGCTGTCTGTTGTCAGTACTACTTCGAATGCTTACATGCTGAAGCTTTTGGTGACAGAATGCATGTTATCTTAATTATACTCTAATTAACATTACAGTGAGGACTTAAGTATTGCAACAACTATTCTTGTTTATTTTCTGCATTCCTGGGACCTGATCCCAGTGTAAACCTGTCCATTTGCACCTCCCATCGACTGTGAGCTCAGAACCCCCCAGATCAGGCCCGTCATTGCAGTGGGACAGGTCCTGAAGTCCTTTTCCATGTAAAATTGCCATTGACTTCTGTGGAAGTTTAGTCACTTCAGTGGGAGTTTTGCCTTCATAGTACCTGGATTTGACCGTGCTTGTCATTTCATGGTCTTAAAAGTAATGACAATTTTCTTCCAATTAAAGACTAAAGTAGTTATTTAAAAATCAGATACTGTGATGAGGTATAGACGGAAAGAGAATATTTTGGGATGTTTAACTGTTAGCTGCATTTCAACATAGGATTTTTACAGGCTCACAGGCTTTCCTAGAAATGTAGGCATACGATTATATAATTGTGAGCTATACAGAGGTAGAGGGGGTGTAACCTGAACTGTTTATAGTGGATGTGCTGCCAGCCTGACACACACCCAGATTTGTCTCAGAAATCCTGCAAGGCAGACTCCCCAGTGTGATCAAAGCCAGAATCGGATGTCTGTCCCAAACCCACTTCCATGCGCTCTGGATGTGGTCAGAGGTGTGTGCTGATGGACTGGAGCTGTCTGGCTGTTAAATTAAACTGGTGGCATACCAATAGCTGAAGCCCTGACCCTGGCTGTACTCTGCTACCTCAAGTGGAGCTGATAAGGAGTTGCAGACATACTGTACAATTTTGGATACAGGGTAAATAGGTAAATGCAGTTACTATGGAAACCTAAATGCTTTTCCATGGTGCTTTATTCCAGAGAAGCTTTTTTCAGGTGGTCACAGATCACAAAGGGGACACATTTCACATAATTGCTACAATGGGCCTTCCAAATGAGGGGCGGGGGGGGGGAAAGCAGCAGCCCTGGTGGGGCTTGTATCTGAAGAGAGTGAGTAGGACATCATCTCTCTTGGCTACGATACACCACCTACACTTAGCAATCCCACTGCAAAGCAGGCAGATTTGGGCATGGTAGAGTAGGACAGACACAGTCATCTTATTTTGAGTTATTATAGTGCCTGGCACAGTGGGCTTGGACAACGTCTTATGACATTTTGGTAATGATAATAATTTCCATTTCTACTGTACAATGAAATGCACGTTCTGTGCTGCTGTTCATAAATGCTGCAACAAAAACTATGACCCCAGAAAAGCAGGGTTTGTTCCACTGTGGGCTTTGATGAGTGATGTGTTTTCCAGATATATTTTTAACATGGTAGTTGAGCTGCTTGCCATCCTTGGAATTTCAGGCTGCTAGTCTAAGGCAAATGACTCCTTAAACACAGACCATAGGAGCAGGATTGTATCTGTGGGGACAACACTCCAGTTTGTACGTGGGAAAGAAAAATTTTATCTTTGGCAGAAGATAGTAAGGGGAATAAGAATATGGAAAACTTACGTTAATTAAATATTTCAGGAATTTTTAGCTTTGCATGAATATAGATGTATTGGTAGGTTTAATTTAGCCAACAGGAAGATTTAGCAGCTTGTATGTATTTCTATAATAATAGAAATGCATATAGAAATAGTCTCCAGCATTACATTTTTGAAGTCCAAATGTAATTGGATATCTCCAATACAGCAGTCACAGATGTCTAAATATGGTGAAATTCTGCTGCTATTATTATTTACTACTATATTTAATGTAGTAGCCCCAATGGTCTCTGGAAAAATCATGGTCTTGAGCTAAACACTGCTTGTAACTCCCAGTCCAGGAGAGCTTTTCTTCTTGTGTAGTATGGACGGTATGCTCTGTGCTCTTCGTGCGACAACAAAAACACAGAGAACCTACACAGCTATGGTGAAGTGCCAGCAGGAGTGTTCCCTAAATGCAGAGAAAACCTCCCAGCTCTCATCTTCAGCACTTTTATCTCTGTGTATCAGCAACATGCTGAGGGTGCCCTTATAAACTGAAGACATGAAAGCCCACAGAAAGAGGGGAGGTAATCGTGGCATCAGGATTTGTACCTGCTCGCACTGTGCTGTTCCTGCCAAGTGACACAGTCCCCAGCTACAGCGCCATACCTTCAGCCTCCAGCCCCAGAAGCAGCAATTATGGTGACTGAGGACAATTTGGGGCAAAAATACTTTGTGCATCAAATACATCTGATGTAGCCATTGGGAAGGGGTATGAATTGGAAGGCAAATGAGCTCACCAAGTGCAAGACCTATGCTGTAAGCCTGGCAATCTCTAAAATAGCAATACTATTTAAAGAGATACCACCCTATTCTGTAAATTATTTAGTGGAGTGCAGAAAAGGAAAAATTATCCAGTAAAATCATATCAGAAAACTAAAATTAGTTGCAGGATTTAATAAATTTGTCTTCTGCTTCCAGAACTCTATTTAAATACTTGTTTTCTCTAAAACTGAGGTATTTATTGATTTTGACAAAAAGGAAGAATTTCCTGCTTGTATTTTTCCATACATTTCATATAGGAATATACTGAAGGTGGGAAAAGCACAATCTGAAACAGCCAACTGAGAAAATAAATTACCTACAATTTATTCTGAATGTAAACATCAACATAAGAGATTAACTCATTAAATGGATTAATTAGTACTTGGAAATCTTGCATTCCTGAATGTCTAAGGATGCCATAGTATGAATCTGTTTATCCATCAGGTCAATTGATTAAAATATAGATGTGCATGTAGTATTCCACTGGGGTGAAGTTCATCATGCTTTATGATGTCCCACCACATTAAAAGTGTAGCAGTCCAGGTCTAGATTATAATGGACAAATGCTACTATGGCTGATAAGCATGAATAAAGCTGGAAAAATCAATGCTAGTCCACTTTTAATGCTTACAAAATTACATAAAGTTAAATGTGCTGCTGGTAATTTTACTGTTAGATGCATATGCTAAGAGTACCTCCAAGAGGTTTAGTGAGGTCTTAAAAATATTTTTGACTTGAACACTGACTGAATTTAAGAGATTTTCTTTTTTTTTTTTTCCCCAGTAACTTTCAGTATCCTCAGGTTAAATACACTCAGAAGTTTAACTTAAAAGTTAAAGGATTTTCCTTCCTGCCAGTGTTGCAAATTCAACATGATGTCAGGGTAACCAGCAATTTAAACCAAGACAATTTAAACCTTTGTAATACTTGAAGATTTCATTGTTGTCCTAGTGTATCTCCAGAGGCGCTTATACAATCCCATTGTTTTACTGGCATGATAAACCCATGTTTACATCCCACAGAAGTCAAAGGAATTTTATCAGATGGCCCCAGTAGACAATTGTTGGATCCTTCCCTTTGCACCACACTGTGGTGCAATATTTCAGCCTTACAGTCCTATGGTGCTTGCACAGAAAAAAACATGAAACCAGGCAGTGGAAATTGGGCCTTGCTGAACCATTTTCTAAAGCTGCTGATAACCTAATGGTCTTTTGTTTTGCATTTCTTTATGCAGGTTGTTTACGTCCAACACTTTTGATGTTATTAGTGATGATGCTTTCATGGGCCTTCCTCATCTAGAATATTTGTGAGTGGACAAAAGTATATTTCCTGGCATTATTGAAGAGAGTGGGCGGGCTTCCAATTTCCAGGCATTGCTTGACCAGAATCACTTTATTACAGGTTCATAGAGAACAACAACATTAAGTCAATTTCAAGAAATACTTTCAGAGGACTGAAATCTTTAATTCACCTGTAAGTGAAGTGATTGAATATATAACTTTGCATATTTAATATAGTAACTGAACCACTGTATTGTTTAATTTCTCATTTTCATATATAACTGTTCATAGTTATTTAAGTGGCATTAATAGTAATTTGATTAGAATGTGTTAATCTTTGTGTTTCCACCAAAGACTTCCAAACTGTGGTATGTGTAGAAGGCAAAGACACAAACAGCTTCCAAGCACTACATGTTTGGCAGTAGTTCCCTGACTTTCTCTGCTTGGAGCACAGGGGATTTCCAGCTGAGCACGTAGGAGCAGGGAGAAGTATGAATTGGGAATCTTGGCACTGGATGAGGTCAGTCCCAGTTTGGGACTTGGAAAGGAGGAAGGTGGGAGCTGTGATTAGGAATGTGAGAGGCTGAGGAATGGACCCACACCTTTCTCAGGTACCCCAGTCTGACATGCATCCAGGAGAATATTACAGCCATTCTTGGGACAGGCCATCACTCCCTGTGCCCGTGTTCACTTAAGACAGTAATAGTATACAGAAGAATTTGATTACATCAAACTTGAAAAATCCCACCCAGAGCAATTTTGGAGACTTGCAACAAGATGTTTTTGTTATGGCTTACTGATCTACTTCTTCCATTCTGCACCTACCTTCCTCTGCACCCTGTCCTCTCCTGCATGGGAGCAGGAGCATCCCACAGTCAGGACCTGTCACACACTGGCACTGGGATGTGCTCACTGTTCCTTGTGTGCTGCTCAGCCCCTTGGCTGTCCCTGCCCTCTGACCTGCTGCAGCCCCTTGCTGCTTGAGCTGGGAGGGAAATTGCTCCAAAGCATTCTGAATGCCAGTGTGCTGTAGGAGCAACGCTCCCCATGTCCTCAGCAGCAGGAACATTTCTCACACATTGGCAACAAATACCTGCAACATTTCACTGCAAACAAGAGTAGCTTCCTTGTCTCTGAGCTAGGAAGACAGTTTTTATACAGGCTTTTGTCTCTTATCTTACAGCAAGTTTATTTTGTAGCAATAATTTAATTTAATGAGGAGTACATTTTTTTAAAAACAAAATACACACTATAAGAAAACAGGAAAAAAAATACAAAACAAGAAAAGGAAAAAAATCTGTAGTGTGCCTGGCATGGGTTTATACCCAGTTCTGAGCATCTGCATTCTGAAGCATGTCATGTGGTGGTGTCATAGGCAGGGGAGGGGATCCTGACCTTTTGGCCTTAACATGATAGCCTCCAAGAGGGTTTTGAAACAGGGCCGTTTAACTTTCTTTTTTGTATATTTTGACAGAGGAGAGAAAGCAAACATTCCATTTTAAACAGTTAGTGCATAAATATAATAGTTGAATTGCAATTCACCACATCTTCATCACCTAGTAAATGTACCATAAAACACTTTATGCTTTCCCTTTTGGTCAGGACACAATTCACAGCTGGCTGGAACTAAGCCTACTGTGACTGCTCATGTAGATAAAGTTACTTATGGAATGGCTCTAGGTCTGAGGAAGAGGAACGAGAGAGGAGAGGGAAAGAGGTACATAAAAGGCCTGTGCACATCCCATAACAATCCTTATTGGAGGTACAGGCAGAATTATACTGTTGTTAGGAAAAAAGATAGCTGGATAAGGCTGGTAACTGGGACCCTATCTTCAAAATATTTACGCACATGAATAGCTTTATATTCACAAGTGGGTCCAGTACATTATTTACCATATTCATTTACTTATTTAGTAGCTGCTGTTGCCAGTGAACAAATTGCTTTTCTAAAACAGAGGAAGGCACAGTTTCTTCTTCACAGGAAGGCTACCATCTTGTCTTGCCTGTTACATTGGTTTCCGGGGATGCTTCAGGAGTTTCACAAGAGAAAACATACACAGAAGACAGATCCACATTTGAGGAGCCATTGTTATTTGCATGCACATTTTTGGGACGTAGATGTGTGCATCATGCTGCTGTTGTCCATGGAGCGCTATTCACAAAGACAATGAGAAATTTGTGGAAAATAACTGCAAATGCACCTCTAGTTTAATCTGCTTGAAGAACCACTCCCCATCTTTTGGGGAAAATTGCATATACACATTAAGAATGATCATTTGGCACCCTGAGGCAATTTTCATTTAAGAAACAAGAGAGTACTTGTGTACATAAAATATATTAAAAAGAATCATAGTAAATGAGCATGCAAATAAGTTCTATGAAGTTAGGTAAGATGAACTTTGTCCTATTTATTCTATTTACTTTCTTTTCACAACATAAATTTTGGAATGCAGTAAGCTATCCAAACATTTTTACTTCTATAATGCAATTAACTTCAATAATTACAGTGTGTCCTTATTGTAAAAGAGAGACATTTAGAATTTATTATTGTACAACAGGATTTATTTGCTGGCCAGAGTACATTTAAAAACAGAAAAATTTTTAAAAGATTGCATTTTTTTTACTAATTTACTAATTTAATGTCAGAATCTTACAGTTAGCATTGGATGGTAATTTCTATGCACAATGGGTAATTTTGATTGCATTTCTCTCAAAACTGGCACCATTAGTTTACCTGCATGCTTGAGCCAACCTTTACTCTCTTATAATCCAAATACCCCATACAGCACCATCTAGGCAAGACAGTGTTTTGTAATATGTAAGTATGTTTTTTAACAGTGGACCATAAAATGCATAATTTTCATTCAAAAATTGGCAAATGGATAAACCTTATTTAAATTTTTCTGTCAGTCAGGTACCCATGGCAGTGGTGAACTGCTCCTACTTCCAAGTACACCCTCCCTTTCAGTTTGCTATATAATAACATACAAAAACAATATAGGGCATTAAACTTGTCTCAGCTTGCAAGTCCACACAGCTTTCTCCATGTGGGTTATCTGATTTTTAAAGAATTTCTCTGGAGCATAAAATTGCACATAAATGAAGCACATGATACATTCACATACAGTGTTAACATCAGATGTACTTTGAAAGTGGTGAAGTTAGAACGGACTAATGGAAGCATCCCAAATTTACTGTTCCTGATCAGACGAACACTTATTTTTAAATGATGGAGCAGACTGGGCTTGTTCTTGTGTTTAAGTATGTGCCTAAATGTCTTTACTTGGCTAGAGAAACTGTGGTTGATAAATAACATTTAAGTTTACAAGTTAAAACAGAAGAAGTTCCAAGTCTTACTAACTACAGATTCTAACTGGGATCTTAATCAAGAATTATTTCTTTCCATTTTTGTTTCTTCTCATAACTAATAAATAATTCTGTTAATTGGAAGAGACATAGACTATACCCTACAACATGATTCTTTTTCTGTCATGCCCTGTGTGACATCTGAGACCTTTGGCAGGCTCACAGAGGCAGTCAGACTGAAATGTAATATACTGTTTGTTCAAAGCCTGCTCACATTTCCTTGTCACTTTTACTAGCTGGAATACTCACTGAATTTAAACAAGTTTTCCCAACATTGAAAACTGGGAATTAATAAAATTTTTTTGCTGGTGTAATAAACATTTCCAGAGGCACATGCCAGGAAAGCAATTCACACTTATCAACAATTTATTGCCTATTACTGCATATTTTCAAAAACTATGAGCTAAACCTAAGCCCATCAGCCCATATTAGTAAGATTTTCCTTCTAGAAGAGGTACAAGAAAGTGGGGAAATTGCAGTGATATGAGCACCATGTATTGGGATCTCATAGGGAAAACATCAGTAGATCCAGTCATGACTAATTATTTTTAAATGTTAAATGGTGTTGGCAAAACACCAAAGGTGATAGCACTTTTTACTCTGCTAAGTGAAGTATTGTAAATGCTGCAAAGCTGCTGAAGAGTGGGAAAGCAGAAGGAGGCATGGCATTTTAGTGGAAGGAAAACTCACAAAGCAAATGAGCTCTTCTTAAAAGCAATCTTTTAGAACTAAGTATTAGAGAATGCCATTGTTCTTTGCCATAAGTAAAAACCCCACACAGTATACCACAATTTGCAAAAATGTGTAGTTTCATGAACAACTAGCACTAATACTGAGGTGTTTTCTTTTACAGGAGTCTTGCAAATAATAATCTCCAGTCACTTCCAAAAGACATATTTAAAGGCTTGGATTCTTTAACAAATGTGTAAGAAAGCAATTAATTAATATTTTAATTATAATAGAAGTATAAAGAGATTATTTTAGAGGACATTCTGAGTAACCATTCACACCACTAGCCAGTAATGGGTCTTGTTAGTGGGTAGAGACTACACAGTATGAGTAGGCTTGGTTTTTTTGTCTGCTCTTGTTGAGAATTTGTAATGGTTTTGAATATTCCACCAGTTATGAAGATCAGTAATATTGTTAATAGTTATGTAATAAAGCTGCATGTTCATTAAGATTTCATGAATAAGAAGGGAGAATCCTTAGGGATGCATGAGAGAGCAAGGCATGCAGGGCATGCAGGGAAGGTAGAAGATATTTAACGGAGTAACATTTTAATGTGCAAAAAGTTCCTGGGAAAGCTAACTTTTATCAATAAAGCATGGGTCTAAGTAAGTATCCCATACTAAATCTAATTGCAACCATATCAAAACATCAAAATATCATATATATATGTATATATGTATATATGTGTGTGTATATATATATATATGAATACCAGTAAAAATCCTGGGATGATAAGCTCAGAAAATGCTTTGCCTGCTCCCAGTGTTAGCAGGTAGGCTGCATCCCTGGAGCAGAGCTGCAGCAGTGAGATGTGGCCATGGGCAGTGGATCTGGAGCATTACTTGGCAAGGCTGAGCGTGGCCAGGTGGTTACACAGTCTGGTCCTGGCGCTCGCCTGTTCCTGTACATACAGTCACAAATCTGACTGAAGACAGCTGTAAAAGCCTTAAACAGAATTCCTTTGCTTGTCTCTCCTGAAGCCCTAAATGAGTGTAGCTAAAGGAGATAGTGAATACTGATGGGCTGACCATCAGGTTACATTAATTCCTTTTTTTTTAATCTAGAATGCTTCTACTGAGAAGGAGTAATGCAAAGGAAACAGGAGTCATTAGTTTGGGAGACTTTTATGTACCTGTAAACTTGGAGAAATAGATAAAAACTTCTGACTGATCACCAAGTTAAGGTCTCCTTGATTACCTTAATATAATTAAATCTGTGTGGGTTCTGGTATGTAGATTTAACTATGGGTCAGGATAAATTAAGCCAGGAAGGCCTCAAGTAAGAATAAGCAAGAGGGCACTTATTTAATAGAAGCCTGTTTTGTTGTTCTCAAGGAAAAATACATTAGCTGACTACTTCTTTTCAATGCATGATTTATTTGTTGTAGAGATCTTAGAGGCAATGCATTTAATTGTGACTGCAAACTCAAGTGGTTAGTGGAGTGGCTGGGCAGCACCAATGCAACTGTTGAAGACATTTACTGTGAAAGCCCACCAGAATATAAGAAGCGCAAGATCAATAGCCTCTCTCCAAAGGAGTTTGATTGCATTATTACAGGTAATGTGCCTTAAATTATTTAATCTTAAAGTCAAAGCTGTAGTTTTTCATTCTAGAGCCCATTTTTGCAGGAACGCTGCATTCTGGACGGAATTTCTACTAAAATCAATATGAACTTTGCTGGTCTAAGTCTGACATGGGAATCATTTGGGAGCAGGGTCCTATATTTCAGTATCCACTCAAACTTTAGTATGTTACATAATGAGTTGGAAAACTGGGACATAAAACAGCACCTCTTTTTATTGAGAAAGATTGAAAACCAAATTGCAGTGCTCCTTTATCAACAGAAAAATTCTACTAGTGATGAAATACTGTAATTTGTAATAAATTGGTATCTGATAAGCAGATGTTTTTTCAGTACAGTATGTAAAGTATCTCTGTAATTATCATCTGTTGTGTACAATTTGCAGAATTTGAAGTTTATCAGTCCCTGCCATACCAATCTCTGTCAGTAGATACTTTCTCATATATGAATGATGAACATGTGGTTATTGCTCAGCCTTTTACTGGAAAATGCATCTTTCTTGAATGGGACCATGTGGAAGTGATGTTCAGGAATTACGACAACATTACAGGTATGAACACTGCTTGACAAAAAACCTTACAACAAATTATCCAAAAGTGATACTAACCCTGTCTCTTACTTTTCTTTTTATAGGTACTTCAACTGTTGTGTGTAAACCTATAGTTATTGAGAGTCAGCTGTATGTCATTGTCGCACAGCTGTTTGGAGGCTCCCACATATATAAAAGAGATATTTTTGCTAATAAGTTTATAAAAATTCAAGATATTGAAATCCTTAAAATCCGAAAACCCAATGACATTGAAACTTTCAGGATTGCTGAAGACTGGTATTTTGTTGTTGCAGACAGTTCAAAGGCTGGTTTCACCACGGTTTACAAATGGAATGGGAATGGATTTTATTCCCATCAGTCTCTGCATGCCTGGTACAGAGATACTGATGTGGAGTATCTTGAAATATCTGGCAAACCACATTTAATTCTGTCAAGTAGTTCGCAAAGACCTGTAATATATCAATGGAACAAAGGAACAAATGAATTTGTTAAGCGGTTTGATATTCAAGATATGGAAGATGCATATGCAGTGAAGCATTTCAAGGTGAAAGAGGATGTGTACATTTGCTTAACAAGATTTATTGGGGACTCTAAAGTAATGAAATGGGGTGGTTCAGCATTTCTGGATTTACAAAGGATGCCATCCCGAGGGTCAATGGTATTCCAACCGCTTCAGATAAATAATTATCAATATGCCATTCTTGGAAGTGATTATTCTTTCACTCAAGTCTATTATTGGGATGCGGAAAAGGCAAAATTTGTGAAGTTTCAAGAATTAAACGTGCAGGCACCAAGGTCTTTCATACATGTCTCCATCGATAAACGAGATTTTCTCTTTGCTTCAAGTTTTAAGGGAACTACATTGATTTATAAACATGTCATAGTTGACTTAAGCGCATGACACTCACAATTCTGAGATTACATCAGACTTTCTACCGTAAGCGGACAAAATGAACTAAATGCATGATGACTCTCTTATCTTACTTCCAAATGAATGCCTTTAAAAGTTGAGATTGCTAGAACAAAGTATTACTAGTATCTTCATCTTTAATTGTCAAGTCTAGTGGTGTTGGAAGTTGCATTTTTTAACAAAAAGAAATTAAATTAACTGTTCTTTGCATCCACAATATGTAAATACATGTGCAACTGCATCTGTTGCTATAAAGAATATTAAGATGTACTTTTCCATTTATTTATTCACCTGTTTGAAACAACTGCCAAATAAAATGTTTACATTTTGTGTCTTTCACATTCCAAATATTATTTGCAGGTGATACTTTTTATTTGTGTATATATTATACACATATAAAATAAAGCCAAGAAGGCATATTGCCCAGTGCAGTGTTGCACTGCAGAGAAGATGCATGAAAGATCAGGTGGGTTTTACTAATAACAAGAAGTTCTTGATAAAAATACTGCATTGAAACACAAGCCTATAAATTATCACCTGGACAATCCTTGCACTTATTGGAAACTTCACTGACTTAAACAGAACTCTAACCAGAAAAAAGAATTCAGTTATCTAGATGTGCTTGTAGTATGAAGGGTTCAGTTATACACATCTAATTGTAGGCTAGGCCTTTGTACTGTGTGTAGCTGTTTCTAAACATCTACAAAGAGCTTGGCAGAATAAAAGACAAGGTAAAGGTCTGTGTTTGTTCACCTGATGCTGAAGAAGCACAAAACAAATATCTTGTACAGCACTGAGCACTGGGGCTGTTACTGTGCTGAAAGCTAGAAGCAAAGCTTATTTTTCATCTAGCATTATTTCTCTAGCTGAACTGTCACACATCACTTGCATGAATTCTGTGTCCTTGTCAAGTCTTTCCACTGTAATTGCAATTATTTAGTCTTCAATGAATTTATTCCTTATTCTGAATGAAGCTAGTGAATGGGAAGTAATTTTTTCCACTACCCTGCAATGAATCTTAGTACCAGGTAGTTCTGAAATTCAGGGAACTTTGGCTGTGTAGTCAGTTTGTATAGTGTATGTAGCTCCAGGGAAGCTAACTGCATCTGTTAAATTGTGCCAAATCTGAATGTGGCATGGAAATCTATCACAAGCTCAAAGTTAAAATAGTCTTTTGTTTGCATTCATCTAGTGCACCATTTGAGAGAAACCTACACTGATGCTGAAGATGATTTAGTGCAGCTCAGGAGGAAAGCTCAAGTTTATTTTAGATACCTTTGCATTCATTTAAGTTACCAAGCGTTGTGCTTCAGTGCCATCTTTAAAATAGAGACATGAATACTGCGTTCATTTCCAGACATTTCTACCATTCACTGATGTTGACTGGTGAATAAAACTAATCATACTGTGCATGTCAGCTAATCACATGAGCTGATTAATGTATATTTGGGAAGTCAGTCCTAAACAGTATGCCTCTGTAATAGATAATGGAGGTTTTTTTATATTTAATGTTATTTAAAATCAAAAATTCCAACCTGAACAACACTACTCTAGTAAGTTAATTTTTCTGGTGTCTTTTTATCCATAGCTGCATATGCTCTGCTAAGCATTTGGCTTAGTAACTACCTATTCCATAAGTATTTACAATGTGAGTAGAAAGATTTTAAACTATGTTTCACAGCTGAAACTTCCCAATTGTTTCTTAAATACATTTCCAAATATCATCTTAATAAATACTCTCTTGTTTGGCAGTTTCCTTTGTATGTCAAACCGTATTTCCTTTATATAGGATTTCAAACCCCAGATGAAGCCAAATAATAATTTTTTTTTATTTCTCAACATTGGCTGCATATCTGTGACTGCCAACTCAGTTTCTTCTTCAGTGCCCTTTGCATGGGAAAGGAATGAAATATAAACATGAACTCATCTCCAATCTGCCAGCAAACCATTAAGTGTTTTCTATTCTTCTTGTCTTCTGTTTCAATCTTTTACTTAAGGTCCTATTGAATTATGTGCACTGGTTTTTATCTGATTTTTCCCATTATACTTGCCTACATGCACTCTCTATCAAATTATAAAGATAATGGCTATGCATCCTTCTCATTATGAACATATTATAAACATCTGGCTGAATTTAAGTGGAGTTGGAGAAACTTGCTAATCTGCTACCAACATTTATTTACAAACAGCATATTGCCTCACAGTGTACCTTGAAAAAGTTACATTTCATGGAAATATATTCCAGAACCAGCCAGCTGTGCTGGCTAAGGCCTATGCTATCATAGTGCTATGATTGCTCTCCTGAGTTTTACCTCATTCTGAAATGATGTGACAGACTTACAGGAATTCACTGTTACTCCTGGGTTTAAAGGAGGAATTTAAATGCCTGCAAGGGTGTGAGTCACTAGAATTTTACACTCACAATACATATAAAACTCACCATGGTGCAGTGGAGGGTGGCAAGGGATCAATCTGCTGGAGAACACAACTGCAGTATCAGTTTGGTTGTTCCTTCAGAAATTTTTTTCCTATAGTCAAGCACTAGTGATTTGGGAAGTTCTTTTCATGTCAAGCCTATGTCATTTTTGGAAGGTCAGCTAATTACTATAAAATGCTGAATCTAAACCTGTTTTCTTTTGAAAATCCCTTTCTCTAGTCCATTATGTCAGGTGGAGACTCACAGGGACAACAGCCAGTTTCTTATTGTGTGACTAGAGCATTTCTTTGTACCACATAAGGAACTGGGGTATTTTTAGAACAGGACTCATAATCCTTAACATAGGAAAGCGTAAAGGCTCATTAGGTGGCTCCCTGTGCTGTTTCTTCCTGATTTCAGAGACTGGGCATTTTAACAGCTCATCTGAGCATAAAGCTAAGGCCTATTCCATCCTGGTTCTCTGCTCAGTACTCCTTCTGATATCAGTGGAAGAGTCAGAAAAAAAAACTAGAACAGAACCTTTCATCATATATACATTGATACTTTTTTAAAATGCTGGATTTTTTCAGCAAAGTCTATGTTACTTGTGGCTGACTGGTTGTCTTCTGTAGTTGTAATGGATTTTCTAAACTCCCTAATTGTTTTGTTTATGACTGACAGAGTATGTAAGGTACTTAATGTATTACAGAAGACAGTATTGAAGGTTATTAATGGATACTGCTGATCCTTGATGCTGCTTAGTCATGTTAATATCTAAGATAGAAAAAAAGAACATTAATGGAATACTATTGTGTTCCTACAACTACTTCATTAGATTTTTAATAGACCCCAAATATAAAAGAATATGCACCTCTGTACTTGGGAAGAGATATATAAAATACATTCAGAATACCTGATACTATACCATGTGTAACTTTTTTTGTCTATTGCAATGCCTAGGACTTGAAGTTTTTTTGTTTCTACTTTATTTGAAAAATATTCCAAAAGCACTCTTCCTACTAAGAAATAAATTCAATAAGGAAATATCTTGTTGTGTAAGGTAACAAAACAAACAGAAATGCATTATTGGTTTGTATTTCATTTTAATTATAACTTCTTCTAAATATTGAAATTTTTAAACTTTATTTGAAGGGGTTGTAACAGCCACTTGAAGTATGCTTGAGGATGGGAAACAATTATTAGCATAGTTAATGATGTGTGATATGCTTTGATATGTTCTAGTGGGAATCTCACTAACAGCTGTATTTATGTATATAAGCATTAAAATATATTGTGTTAGCATTTAATGAAAAATAAAGATTATTTAAACTATAGAAGTAACAAAAAGTCCTTAGACTGACAATAGCACCAAGAGAAAGCAGAGAAGTCAGCATGCCCAAAATGTTACAATTAAGAACAGAATATAAGCACAAAGCAAGTTTCAAGAGAGTGGAAGTTTCCCCTTTCAAGGAAGTCTTTTCCTTTCCATGAAACACGTAATGTGTTTCCCCTCAGTGGGGAACCCTGAAAATCCAGATAATCACCCAGTTCTTGCAAAATACAGTAAGAGGCTTACAAACTTAATGCACTACGTTCATGATCCTAATATGTGGATTTTTTTCCCTTTTGACACCTCTCTGCTACATCAGTCTCAGCCCTGGTGGCACAAAGGGAGTGGTGAGCACTCCACTGCCCCCTGAAAGGGCCAGGGCCCTGCCAGACAGAAGTTAAGCCAGGCTCAGCAGATAGAAAATGCAAACCCAAGCACTCAATTCACTCAGCTGTTAATGCCTCCCCCACTGCCTAGCAGGTTTTCTCTCTGATTTGTTATACATATTGCCAACAGTTCCCACTACCTTTCATCTGCCTGCAGGCCTTGCCCTCTCCTTCCTGCTGATCTGGAGACCTAAGTGTGGCAGTAAAGCTGTGATTTAGACTCCTATTGATTAGAATGGCTGAATGTGTTCTTGTGGCTGGGAACTCACCGATAAATGTCGAGGTCTTGGGGAGTTCAACTCCTCCAGACCGATCTGCGGTACACTGCCTGACTTACTGCTACTGGCAACTTTTCTTCCTTACTGATGACTCTGAATTCTAATTGCTGGTGTTACAGGCATGTCTCTGTTTATAGTTCGCTTAAACAAAGTGCTCAGAGGCAAACCTAACCCTATTTCTATTCAGGAATTTTCCTGAAATGAACTGGAACTACAAAGACCTCCAGTGTGCTATACAGAAGTGGTGTTGTATTTGTGCTTTGAGACTCTGAATCGCTCCAATTAGTTATGGTAGTGTAATACTTCTGTCTTCAAATTTGTTACAGTAGAAAGCAATTTGCCCCTAAATATGCATATTTATATTCATATAATTGTTTATTTATACTCCAAATAAACGGAAATGGATGATAGCAATAATTATGTTACTGTTCCCAATCTCCCATTCATCAAATCAATTTCTGAATTCTCAAAAGTTGTTCTCAACTCAACCTTACTTTATTCTTCCTACTGAATTATTTCAATTGAAAAAGGACTTTCTGACCCATTCTCCCTTCCTGTTCGAAGGCCTGGATAGCAACACCAGTATGTTAGCAAGTTGTCAACCTGCCCAGATGGTGAGCATCCAGAAATACTGAAAGAGCTTCAGAATAAACAGGCTGATCTGCTAAGAATACATAGTCCTTCATTAAAAACCATTTATGTGCAAAGGAACTAGAAGTAACAAATATTATACCTATTTTTTAAAAAAGCTAATGGGATAAATAACCAGTGGAATTTCAGACCAGTAAGATCCACATTTCCCTGAAATTCTAAATGAAAATGGAAGTGTAAAATTTCAGGGGAAATTAGGTAACTAAGCAAGTGGGACAGGATGACTAGTGAAGTTGAGAGTCTAGAAAGGCAAAATACTAAACATAGGAAAGAAATGC